CAAGTAGTTCAGCCAGGTGAGAAATAAAGAGATCCCTGAGCTGAGCACCCCCCTTAACTGGAGGCTTGGCCTCACCCTCCAATCCAAGGGACAGAGGGTACTGATGAGGTGGGATACCAAGGCTAATGGTGAGATTTCTCAAGAGTGTCCTGGGACATGGGGGAGAAATCCCAGAGGACAGCAGCCGGGTAGAGACGAGAACTTGGAATGAGGCAAAGTGAGGTGAAGAGCGTCCCAGTTCTCTCTAGGAGGGTTTCATTTGAGTCCTCTCCTGAGCTGGCAAAAACCCCTTTGGAGTGGCCCTCCTCCCCCTCTGCTCTACTCTGCATTCTGACATGATCCTTAAAGGAGTGGGAAGGATGGCGTGGCTGTTGGGGAAAAGGGACCTAGTTTCCTTCTCTTTCATCTCCCTCAAGCCTAGCCTGGACCATCTTGAATCATGACCTGGGGTGTGTAGAGTCAGAAGCCATCTCCACAGCCTCTTTCCCTAATGCTTCTTCACGGTCATTACTGTGGAGGGGTTGGGAGCAGATGGGCATTACCAGAAACTGTCAGGTAAGTACATTAGCAAAGAGGTGGGGACTCTGCTGGCTGTGGGCACTCTCAGTAGAGCAGAGTCCCTGGTTTTGGTTCCAGTGCAGAAAGGACATTTGAAGTTTGCCCCCAGCAGAGGGGCCACAGAGAGCAAGAGCTTTTGTGGGGCAGTGTGACTGGAGGCCTGAGCTGTTGCTTATGGGTGGAGAAGAGTGCCCAAGGTTGGACCCTGGGACAGAGCTCAAAAAATAACAGGAAGAAGGACCTGAGACTTGGGGCATCACTCCTCACACCTCAGGACTAGAACTGGATTATAATAATATGCTGCTGAAGACAAATTAAAAATAAAAATAAAAATCAGTAAGGAAAAAGAACCCAACCGTAGATAGCTGCTATGGGGATAGAGAAGATCTGGGTTCATGTTCAGAGAAAGGCAGCAGAGTGAAAAAAGCCACTCCTTTTTCAATGAGAAATGTCAAATGGTCCTAAGCACAAAAAGTGTTCTTGGACGAAGTTAAAAAGGACTTTAGAAATCAAATAAGAGGCCTAGGAAAAATTAGAAAAAAAAAATATAAGAGCAATCTAAGAAAATTATGGGAAAAAAAGTCAACCAACTGGAAATAGAGAATCAGAAGCTTAAAGAAGAAAATAATTCCTTGAAAACTAGAATTGGGTAAGGAGAAGCTAATGATGCTATAAAAGATACCAAGAGGTAATAAAACAAAATCAAAAGAATAAAAAAAAGAAGAGAATTTGAAATATCTCATCAGAAAAACAACTGATCTAGAGAACAGATTGAGGAGAGACAATATAAGAATAGTCTAGACTACCTGAAAGTTATAATTAAAAAAAAAATCTTGATACAATATTACAAGAAATTATTAAGGAACGTTTCCCCAAAGTTCTAGAACAAGAAGGTGAAACAGAAATAAAAAAACAAAACCAAAACCAAAAACAAAACAAACAAACAAAAAAAGCACTGATCACCACCTGAAAGAGATCCCAAGAGAAAAACTTACAGGAATATCATAGCCAAGTTTCAAAGCTCCCGGGTTAAGGAGAAAATATTGCAAGCAACAAGAAAAACACAATTTAAATATTGTGGAGTTGCTGTCAGGGCTTATAAGTCCTCCTAACAGCTGCTACATTGAAGAACTGTAGGTCTTGGAACAGTATATTTTGTAGAGCAAAAGAGCTAGGGTTACAACCAAGATTAACTTACCCAGCAAAGTTAAGTGTGCTCCTGAATGGGGGGAAAATATGGACATTTAATGAATTAAAAACCTTTCAGGTATTTGTGACAAAAGGAGCAGAACTTAATGGAAAATTCAACATATAGGATCCAGGAGAAATATAAAGTAAACATTAAAAACCAATTATGAGGGACTCAATAAGGTCAAACTGTTTACTTTTTATATGTGAAAATGTTATCAGTACTCTTATGACTGTTATCATTATTCGAGTAATTTGAAACAAAGGCTTGGGGCTGAGCTGTGTATGATGGGGGTGATTCTAAAAAAATAAAACTGTGTAGTGAGAGATAAAAAGGAGTAATTAGCTCATGCAAATGAGGTGTGAAAGGAAGAAGTGATATAGAAAAAGCAAGTGAGGGGAGGGCTGATAGTGCTGGAACTTTACCCTCATTGGTAATGAGTTAGAGAGGAACAACATATATATATATAAAGGCATATAAAAGTCTTCTAAATTTAGAAAGACATAAGAAGATGAGGGGATAGGGAGGGACTTTTAGAAGGGTGTATCGATTAAGAATTAGGACCTATCAGATTGGCCAACATAGCAAGACAGGAAAATGATAAATGTTGGAGAAGACGTGGGAAAATTGGAACACTAATGCATTGTTGGTGGAGTTGTGAAATGATCCAACCATTTTGGAGAGCAATTTGGAACTATGCCAAAAGAGCTATAAAAATGTGCATACCCTTTGACCCAGCAATAACACTTCTAGGGTTATATCCCAGAGAAATCATACAAATGGTAAAAGGACCCACATGTACAAAAATATTTATAGCAGCTCTTTTTGTGGTGGCAAAGAATTGGAAATTGAGGGGATGCCCATCCATTGCGGAATGGCTGAACAAGTTGTGGTATATGAATGTAATGGAATACTATTGTGTTATAAGAAATGATGAACAGGCTGACTTCAGAAAAACCTGGAAAGACCTGTGTGATCTGATGCTGAGTGAAGTGAGCAGAACCAGGAGAATGTTGTATACAGTAACAGCCACCTTGTGCAATAGCTGACTTTGATAAACTCAGCCCTTCTCAGCAATACAAGGATCTAAGACATCTCCAAAGGCCTTGTGATGGAAAATGCTATCCACAAAGAAGAAAGAACTGTGGAGTTTGAATGCAGATTGAAGCATACTATTTGCTTTTTTTTTCCTTCTGTTTTGTTTTGTTTCCTCTTTCTGGTGGTTCCTCCTTTTGGTTCTGATTCTTACTTACAACATCACTAATGTGAAAATATGTTTAATAGGAATGTATATGTATAGCCTATATCAGATTGTGTACTGTCTTGGGGAGGGAGGGGGAGAAAAATTTAAAACCCAAAAGCTTATGGAAGTGATTGTTGATAATTCAAAATAAATTAATAAAAAAAATTTTAAAAAACGAGTTAAGAGAGGAGAGAGGATAAGGGAGAAGCTCTTAGAAAGATAGGTAGTTTAAAGTAGAGAGTAAGGGAGAGACTCTGGGAAGGGTGGGTAGATGAAGGAATAGGAGGGCAGGGTGGAAGGTAGAAGTAAATTAGACTGGGTGAAGAGGGATAGGGTAAATAGGGCAAGAACGATAGTGAGGAAAAATAGGATGGAGGGAAATGTACAGCAAATAATTGTAACTTAGAATGTGAATGTGATGAATTTACCCATAAAAAGAAAACATAGCAAAATGGATTAAAAATCTGGATTCAACAATATGTTGCTTTCTGGAAACACAATAAAAAGGAGAGATACACACAGAAACAAAATGAAGATCTGGAATAGAATTTATTATGTAAAAGAAGCAGGGGTAGTAATCATGATCTCAGACAAAGTTAAAGCTAAAATAGATTTAATTATAAGGGAAAATAGGGAAAACTACACTGTGTGTCACCAATATTATTCAATATTGTTTTAGATCATTTAAAGTGAATAGATAGTATAAAATACCTGAGAGTATACCTGCCAAAGCAGACACAGAAACTACATGAACATAAATAGAAAACATTATATAGATATAGATATATAAAGTCAGATTTAAATAATTGGAGAAATATTCATTGTTCATGGGTAGGTAAAGCTAGTATGAATTAAAAACGGCAGTTTTATCTAACTAATCTATTTATTCAATGCCATCTCAATTAAATTACTAAAAAATTATTTTGCTAAATTAGGAAAAAATAATAACAATTCATTTGGAAAAACAGAAGGTCAAGAATTTCAGAGAAACTGGTGGGGGGAGGGGAATGTAAAGGAAGAGGATTCAGCAGTACCAGGCCTTAAACTATAAGGCAAGAGCATTGTTGAAGTGTAAAATGGATAATTTCAATTATTTTAAATTAAAAATTTCTTGTGTAATTAAAACCAGTGTAGTGAAGATTAGAAAGAAAGCAGATAATTGGTGGAAAACTTTCATAGACAGTTTGTCAGATAGTATATAATTGTGATGTAATAGTGCTGTGAGATAAGAAAAGATGAGCTTGTTGATTTAGAAAAATATGGAATGACTTGGACCTATGAAGGAAGATGGTGTGCACCCCCAGAGAAAGAACTGGCAAATAGAAACACGCATAGTAAGAATTTATATATATGATGTATATGTGTGTGTTTATAGATATTTATGTGTATATATGTATATATTCACTTTTACTTGGAGCCTTCTCTAGGATGGGAGAAGGGAGAGAGGGAGGGGAAAAAAGTGCACTGCAGAGAAGAAAACTTAGAAGGAAGCACAGAATAGCTGGGTAGCTTTGGAAAAAAAGAACCATGTAGAATTTATTGCATAGTTTTTTGTGATGTGGAAATTCATTGTTTTATATTGAATCTTCTCTTATGTTCTGCTATATATATATGGAAATGTCCTTTTTTTCTTTTTTTTGTTTTGTATCTAAGTTTAAAATTAATTTTAAAATTTTTTAAAAAAAGGAATGAAAAAAATTGCAAACATTTATTAAGCACCTGCTATGTATGAGGCACCGTCCATGCCTTTTAAAGACACACTGAGCAATTATTTCCAACTGGGGTACCGCGGGGGACACGCTGGTGATTGTGTTGCTGTTGTTGGCCCTTTGTGTTGCGACATATTTGTGGCCTTGACTTTAGGGACCTAATTCACTGAATGGGCAAATCACTGGAAACACTGTGGGTCCAGACATGTTTGTAGTCCTGCTTGTCTACCCCTCAGAGCCTGCTCATCAGCCCAGTGCCAGCACCTTCTGGAATAAAAGGATTTCATCTTTTTAATTGCAGGTTCCGTTACAGCTCATAGAGAGTGTTGAATGCCGAGATATATTTCAACTTCATTTGACTTGCAAAGACTGCAAAGTTATCAGGTACGTGCACACGTGCTGCCTTTTAGTGTGGAAAAATGCTGAGAGCAGGCGGGTGTGGGTGCAGAGTTCCCTAAATAGTGATTTCTTGTCACCCTCTGAAGGGAATATGCCTCTTCGGTTTGGGTGGCCTTGCAGTACCTTGCACCTAGGACACACTTAAATGCTTGTCCAGTTGAATGCAAGCTCCTTCTAGCTTTGGGGCAGCTTCTTTTCAGGCATCAGGAATAGCCGCATGATCCACAGTGCCTAGCGCAGCAGCAGATGCATTGGTTTGGGAGTGGGGAGAAAATGAAGTTCTCCCTTGGGCTTGAGCTAAATAATTTAACTTCCCGTAGGATCTGACTGTGTTTTTTAGGTTCCCTTTGTCTAGCTTCTTATGAACAGTCTCTAGCTCGTTTGGTGGTGTAGTCCTGCAGTTAGGCAGCAGAGTGGCTGCTGGGTCCACTGGATGGTGGTCCATTAAATTGTCCCGATTTTTGACTCTCCTTGGTTCTGTTAGAAAAACTAGCTTAAGGTTTGCAACATGTTCTCCTGAAAAAACGGTACGTGCCCATTTGTTCCTTTGTCACCTCATTCAGCCCAGGAAATTATGGATCTGCCCGTGACCACTGAGCGCCCTGATTTTGCTGTGCTAGGGAAATTCTCATTTCAGTTCCGATTCGGTTCAGCCAAGTATTGGTGCCTGCTACATGCAGGGTTCTATGGTAGGTGCTCCTGGTGGATTCTCAGATGAATAAAAAGCATTGTCACCCCTACCTGAGCTGACCATTTTATATATAGGAATGAATTTGGTGACATTGACCAAGAGTCCATGGCTGAGCTCAAGGCCTGCCTTCTCCACAAAGTCTCCTTCGTTGCCCATGGCTGAAAGCCTTTTCTTCGTTTGTCCTCATTACCTATTACTTGTATGTATCTATGTAGATATCTCAGATTGGGTTAGTAGATCATAAGCTCCCTGTGGGGAGGCACTGGGAGATTTTTCATCAGTGTGCCCACTGCACATAGAAGGAATTTGTAGAATGATAGGATTTACAGTTGAAATGACTTTAGAGATCATCTTATCAAAGACAGTTGTGTTAAATTGATATATTTTAAAGTTATCCTGAATATTTTAAATGTAATTGTTATTTAGTGCCTCCCAGAAAAAAATGTGAAAATCCCCGCCTATGCCCTAATTTCTGAAAGGAAAAATTCTAAAAATCTTTTTAAAATAAATTTATTATTATTCATCATTATAATAATAGCCCTCTCTGTGTGTGTATCTACACACACGTACATACACAGCTGGCATTTTACAGTTCACCAAAGACTTCCCTGTACTAATACTACCAGGCAGATAGTTCGAGTATCTCTCCACGTGAAGAGAAGTGACTCCAGTTCATATGAAGAGGTTATACAAAGAAGGTCATTTGGCCAGCCAGTTGGGAACAAAAGCTAGGATTTAGGGAATGGGGTCCTAATCCTGTGGTGTTTTTTTTTCCTTCACCTGCATTAAAGTTGCCTGTAACCCACAAGAGGAGAGTGAGGCCACATACTGTTTGAGAAAATACTACTGACATTTAATGAATGATTTAAATAAAAGATGGAGAGAGACTCACTGTTTGAAGCCTCTTCTAAAAATGATTTATGGAGTTTTTAAAGGATTGACGCTAGTACATTCTTGTCCATAGTGTATGAAGTGCCATCTGATGGTCCTTACTTTTGGTGAACTGAATGACAAATTTCATTGGCTTTTTAAAAAAAAAGTCAGACTTATTATAGATGTCTGCGTGCAGTGCCAGCCAAATCCGGCACCTCATTTGGCCCTCTCAAAACTGAGAGGAAGAGCGGTAGAGAGTGAATTTTTGATGGCTGATTTCTGTTTTTAGATTCAGAAAATGGAATGGTTTGAGGAAGATGTTTCTGAAGAACTTTCTACTTTTTACCTGAATGTAATTTAACAATAATAATAATGGAAGTAACTTCTAATCATGCCAGATTTTACAGTTATAAAGCACTTGTTATCCACGATGTCATTTGCTCCCACTCTCTGAGCTTATGATCATTCCCATTTGGCCAGTGCAGAGGCGCATCAAGGTGAAGTGGCTTGCCTAAGATTGTGGAGCTCATTAAGGAGAATCAGGACTTCTTATATCCCGCTTTCTTTGGCTTTGTCTAGATGGTCTTGAAGTGACTCATGTGCTTATTTGCTTTCTCTTCTTAGACATAATTGGGTACTGCAGAGGAAAGAGCACAAGGCCTAGAGTCAGGAAGACTTATTGGCTCTGTGACCCTGGGCAAGTCACTTAACCTTGTTGGCCTCAGTTTCCTCATCTGTAAAATGATTTGGAGAAGAAGGGGCAAACCACTCCAGTATCCTTGCCAAGAAAATCCCAAATGGGGTTGTGGAGAGTCAGACATAGCTGAATGACTCAGCAGTAACAATAAATGCTTGTCCCCTTCCCTTTTGAATAATTGGTATTTCAACAATTCATTTCAGCAAAATTATAATGAGCTGCTCTGTACCCAACACTGCTTGGGGCCAGGAAGATGCCAAATTTTGTTTCTCATCTTTGTCTCCCCTGGGCACTAATATAAAGTCTTGCCTATTTTTTTGTGTTCAAACCTGTGATTGCTTTGATGTAAGGCATTCCTCAGTTTTTGGACTTTCCCACTAATGTAGACCAGCATTTCATCTGTAATGTAGAGTCTGAGAGAGAGGCCAGAAGCTGGAGACAGGGAGGAAGAAAATAAATGAAACGACTTGCCCAGCATCTCCAGTGTATACCAAAGGCAGGCTTTAGACCCGAACCGTCAGTGACTCCAAGGACCTTCCTTTCTTCTAAGATGCACTTCCTCCGTCAGTGTGGAACACATACTTCAACAGTGTCATTGTAGAATTGGCCAGGCATGTGTCTGTGCTCAGGAGACTTCCGGTTTGGCAGGAGTTCAAGTCTTAAATACCTCTAACTTGCATAGACTCTATTACCTAAGAACATTCAATGGTATCAAACAGAGTATTTGATGAGGTCTGAATGGGAAGGTCCATTAAGACAAAATCCTAATTTGTACATATCCATTGTCTCAGCTGTTGGAATATAAGCACTCTTAGGGTTTCATTTTTTTCCTTCATTTCCCTGCCAGCTAGCATAGCGCCTGGCACCTAAGAGGCCCCACGTTGAGGCTTGTTGATTGATTGGTTTTTTGGGTTTTTTTGGTCCTTAAAAAGGTGTCAGTTCTCAACCTTTGAGCAGTGTCAGGAGTGGCTTAAGAGACTGAACAATGCGATCCGGCCGCCTTCGAAGATAGAGGACCTCTTCTCATTTGCATATCACGCTTGGTGCATGGAGGTCTATGCCAGCGAGAAGGAGCAGCATGGGGACCTGTGCCGGCCAGGTAGGCATCACTCATACTTTAAAGACTTCCAACCCCTTTACATCCAGCTGTTTCTGACCCTGGAATTTTAGGCAAGGAGAAAGTCCCTGACTTGAGCATTGAGTACAAAATGTTTCCTGATTCCTAAGATCATAGTTTTTTTTTTAAATGGGAAATTAATTAATTACGTTTTTAAATGGGAAACGAATCTCCATTCAAGGTACTTGAGCCTGACCCTCATGTTTTACGTACATGGAAGCTTAGGCTGAGGCAGGATGAGTCATTGGTCCAAGTTCACAGAACTTACCAGTGAAGTCTGCTGAGACTCAAACCCAGACCATCTGCCCTGTGACAGGATTTAGAAATATATTGATAACAGGTTAGAAACACTATAATAAATACGTCTTCTTTTATAGCTGTTCCATATGCATTTTACTGAATACTTCATTTCCTCCTGTGCTAACCCAGTTCATGGTTCAGGGAACGAAGAAGAAGTAGAAAGGACAATTAGATGTTATTTCTGCTTTGTGACCCCTCCCCACCAAAGATTCACAGGGTGCCAGATATTTCTGCAAAATATCCATTTGTAAGCCCATAACCTTTTTAAAGATAATATAATTTTTGTCCATATAACTTAGCTTCCAGAATTTCTACTAAATATATTTAGGTACAAACCTATTGTTTAATATATCAGATTTTAACTTCTTTTCTTTTCCTTTGGATCAAAGTTACCACTTACTTATTTTACCTACTTTGCCCTCCTATGCACCTGCTGTATCTCTGTTATTTGCTCAAAATTTAATTTAGTACTCTATATTGTGCTTTTTGAATTACCAAGAATTTTGTAATCATTATTTTACATGAATTTCATACCTACCAGGGACATAGGCAGTACAGGCATCATTATTCCCATTTCATAGATAAGAAAACAGATTTATTTATTTATTTTTTCTTAGTTGGTTGATCTTTTTTTCCCCTTAAATCTGCCTGCTCATCATTTCCTTTTTTTTTTTAAATTAATTTATGTATTTTTAGTTTTCAACATTCACTTCCATAAGCTTTTGAGTTTTAAATTTCTCCCCCTCCCCAAGATGGAGTGCAGTCTGATATAGGCGCCACATATATATTCATGTTAAACCTATTTTCACATTAGTCGTGTTGTAAAAAAGAGTTAGAACCAATGGGAGGAACCACGAGAAAGAAGAAACAAAACCACAACAACAAAAAAAGAGCAAATAGTCGGCTTCAGTCTGCGTTCAGACTCCATCGTTCTTTCTCTGGATGTGGACGGCATTTTCCATCTTGAGTCTTTTGGAGATGTCTCAGATCCTTGCGTTGCTGAGAAGAGCTAAGTCTATCAAAGTCAGTCATCGCACAGTGTGGCTGTTACTGTGTACAGTGTTCTCCTGGTTCTGCTCACTGCATTTAGCATCAGTTCATATAAGTCTTTCCAGGTTTTTCTGAAGTCTGCCTGCTCATCATTTCTTATAGCACAATAGTATTCTGTTATATTCATATACCACAACTTGTTCAGCCATTCCCCAATTGATTGGCATCCCCTCAATTTCCAATTCTTTGCCACCACAAAAAGAGCTGCTGTAAATGTTTTTGTACATGTGGGTCCTTCTCTCATTTTTATGATCTCTTTGGGATACAGACCTAGAAGTGCTATTGCTGGGTCAAAGGGTATGCACAGTTTTGTAGCCCTTTGGGCATAGTTGCAAATTGTTCTCTAGAATGGTTGGATCAGTTCAGACTCCACCACCAATGCATTAGTATTCCAATTTTCCGACATCTCCAACATTTTTCTGATTTTCATGTTGGTCAGTCTGATAGGTATGAGGTGGTACCTCAGAGTTGTTTTGATTTGCATTATTTCTCTAATCAGTAGTGATTTAGAGCGTTTTTTCGTGTGACTATAAAGAGCAGATGAGTTGCTTTGTAGCCACTTGCCTTGGGCCTGGGAGACGGCATCTTCTGAGGGAGGTAGGCCTTGGGGCTCTGAGGGGACAGGTAGTAATGGTTGCTGGCTGGTCCCTTGGGAAGCCATTGGATCATTTCTGTCTCACAGGAAATTGTTTTCCATTTGTGGGTATACCTAAAGGCTTACGCTGATTCTCCCTATGACTCCTAGGTGATCTTCTGAGCTCTAATGGATTGAGTTATCTTTAATAATAGGTCTAGCCCTACTTACTCTCTGCTGAACCAGTCAATCAGTAACCTGCTGTGTGCCAGGCGTTGTGCTAAACATTGGAGCTTTAGACCTGTATCTCCTACTTTGTGATGGGCAATTTTCAGCCAGGAACACTTTCATATCTCATTACCTCTTGCCCAGACTCTTGTAATAGCCACCTAATTGATCTGCTTGTGTGGGTTTCTCCCCTATTCAGCCCATCCTCCATGTCGCTGCCAGGCGATTTTCTTAAATCCAGTCTGTTCAAATCACTTCCCTGGGCAAGAAACTTCAGTGGTACCTTATTGTCTCTAGGGCCAAATAGAAAGTGGTCTGGCTCCCACTTGGCTTTGCAGACTCAATATATATTACCCCTCTTCCAAGCAGACTGATCTACTTGCTGTCCCTCGTATGAGACATTCCATCTTGTGTCTCTGGGCTTTTGGACAGGCTTTCCCTGGAATGGTTTTTCCTTCTTATCTCTTTCTCTGAATCCTTCTAGGCTTTGCTCAGGTGCCACCTCTTACATGAGGCTTTTTATGAACCCTTTCTTCTCTCGTCCAAAGAATTTTGAGTAAATTTTATAACTGCTTATGTTTGTAGAAGAATGAGCAAATGGTAAAGCATTTATTAAGCATTTACTGTGTGCCAGGCACTTTGATAAGCACCCAAGATAAAAATACAAGCAGGCAAGACAGTCCCTGTCTTCAAAAAGCTTATTTTCTAACAATTAATAATAATAATAAAAACCCACACATAAAGGAGAACCAGAAAGAAAGTGCAGAATACGATTTTGGAGGAGAGGTACCACAAAGGCCTAGACAGTTGTCCTCTCAGTCCCAGAGATGGAAGGGCTGAGTCCCTGTTGGGATTGGGTTGTGGAGATGGCATGATCTCTCCTGAGGGAGGGATTGATGATTACTGTTTAGGTCTAGCCATGCAACCTGTTCAGAAAATCCAGTTCTCTACGTGTGGGCTGGGAACTCCTGGGGTCCTTAAGACGGTACACATAGTCTGCAGGGTCAAAACTAAATTCACAATAATGCTACTAAGATGTTTTAATTTCTAAGGTGATAGATAGTGATAGACATAATCCACACTAATTTTTAACAGTTCTAAAGGAGTCCTGAGAACTGCTGCAGTCTAGCTAGTCTAACTTGTGCCTCGATGCAGATTGAAGAAGGAAAAAAAAGCCCAAACTTTTTGTGTATCCTTGGCTTTCCTTGTTTATTTGGAGTTTGGCACTTCTGACTCTCTTCCTTCAGAACTATGTCAGACTTTTATTCTCATCTTCCTTGATCATCTTCCATCTTCTTTACTGTATTTTTAAAATTCAGATTGCTTGTGAATTCCCTGTGTGTCCACATTAATTTCTTTAGGCAACTCCCCTTTCCTCTTCTCATTTGAATCATTTTCATGACTGTCTTCAGAATTTAATTCTTGATTTTTCCTCATCCTTCCTGGGCTTATTTCCCCTGTAGAATTTGAGTTCACAGGCTCCTACCAAGCCTTCTGAATCTCTGCAGTGTTATGTTGTTCTTATTGGCTCTCTTTTAAGCTTCAGGGGGTCTTTGTAAACGAGGTTGTGTTATCCTTTATACCTACTCCTTTTCTTCCTCTTCACCTGCCTCCAACCTTCATGGTTTCATTGACTTTGACCATATCCCTTTAGCCTTTTCTCCTTCTTGAAATTCTTGAAGATGGAAGGAATCAATGTTTTGCCTGGAGAAATTTTAAAAATGGGCTAGCAGGGTCACTGTCTTAAAATATTTGAATAGTTAACCCATGGAATTGGTGTTAAACTGCTTACTTTGCTTGACAGGCAGGTGCATTTCAACGCTGCATAAAGAAGATCGTGATAGTAATTAGTGGGCTGCCTGACTGTGTGACTCCCTTATCCCTGGAGGTGTTGGCCAGGGACAGGGGGATGACTTGTCTGGGATGTAGATGACATTCACCATTTGAGTAGGGATTGGATAATGTTACCTTTGTGCTCCCTTCCTGAAGTAAAATTCTGTGATTCTTCTATTGTACCCAGACTCTTTTGTGGGGGGTGGGAGCAGCTTTCTGATTGTTTAGAATCCATCATCTTTTGGGAGTAGCTAATACTATTTTTCCTTAAGTGCATTTATTACCTTGTGTTTGCCTACACAGGAAGAAGCTCACCTGCCACTACCTGAAATAGAATTGTACTGCTGTGCTTTGTTTGATTTTTTGGTTTCACCTTATTTGCCATTCCTTTTTGTACAGAGCAGGGAGCTCTGTACAAACTTGTGGCTGCTTAGAGCCAGCTTGACCTACTTTGGAGCTGTTGGCATGAAAGGGCTTGGTTTTACCACTTCCACCTTGGAGAATGTAGGTGGTGGCCCAGACATTACTCCCTGAAGGTGAAAAGACGACTCTCATAAGTCATACTGACATATTTTCAAAGTGATGCCTTGCATCACGGTGACCCAGCTCAGTCTGTGAGGTCACAAGCCCAGCTTTGGAGGGGTTGTATAGTGTTTGAGTAAGTAATTCGCAGAACTGTGGCCTTTTATGGTGTGACACTGGAGTGTGCAGCAAGTTAAGTCGTGGAGGAAGAGGAAGAAAGTCAGTAGTGCTTGAGGGTCACATGAAGGTTTTTCTGTAGCTATGAAATCCACCCGTATTAAATTCGGTTTATTGTGGCCTTCATTTAGCTCTCAAACCTTTTTCTTTGGAAGAAGTCTTAATATGGCTTTCTAAATTTCGTTGATGATATCTGAAGCCTCCTGAAAATGATACTAGATTTGATTTTGAGTTGTGAAGCGAGGATAGGCATGAGCTCCTCTTCCCCCCGCCCCTCCCACCCCACTTCCTAACTTTC